CTCGACAATTGTTGACCATAATAGAAGTGAATGTTGCGTCTGGTCAATAACTTCTGGTTAGGTCCATCAAGTTAAGGGCATCACCTCTAACTACCACGTGACATGATTTTAGGTTGAAATTGAATAACCCATGAGAATGTACTTACCTCAAAAAATAATTGTAACATTTATATGTATAGCTGGAGCCTGGAGTGAGATAAAAGGTACATATAAGCCAAAGACCTTTTTGGGTTTACTAGCCAGCATCTCTCCTTCCCCTTATGAACAAAGGTGAAGGGTGACTTCAAAAACTCAATTAATGTGTTAGCTTGCCACTAGCTCCAAAAGTTTACGCTTGGTTTTACGTGCATGCGCCCATCCCCGCACTCAGTGAGCAGAAAAATGGAGGGAGAGAGGCAAGTGTATAGGTGCAAGATAGGAGGACACCTTGAAAATAAAGAAGATATGTAGAGAATAGGGGTGCAAAAAAGGGATCCGATACTATATTAGACAACCACTAATTTAGCTGTTAAGGAATATACCAATAATGTATGTCAAGGTTGCTACATTTATATAAACGGTTTCGATTAATAGTTTAGATTAACGGTATAGCATGCATAATAATGTACTTACTATGTGATGCTTTAAAGAGCTTTTATCACATGGCTCCATCCATCGATATGGAGATACCAGTAGTTACGGCTCATTAAGTTGCAATTGTGTTGCCGGCTCTCTACGGTCTATGGAGGCTTTGATAAAAATGGCTAAAGGATTCATTTTTAAGCCAACTAGACTGGCTAAGGTTTAGAGTCTTGTACCAAAATTGTGCACACACTAAGTTGATGTAAATCCTAGCTACCTAACTTGACTAGTTTTGGGCTCTACTGTACTGCTTTCTTGATGGCAGGCAGAGGACCATAGAACTTTGCCCTAAAATCTTACAAATCTCATTCCTTCATGATAGAGATAATACGGCTTTTGATTTTGAGGTGTACGACCAACTTTTGGTAATTACAGGACCACCAATGTTTCACGCTTGAAATAAATAGCTTCCTGGCCTGCAATAATATCGTAGTAGCTTGCAAACCAAATGGCAAAAGATTAAGGTGAACTTCTAGGATGGTCCCTGGTTACCTTTCAAGTTTACTTTTACTGCTTGCAAAACCTCGAGCCATGAGAGAGAGAGAGAGAGAGAGAGAGAGAGATTAAAGGAGGACCACATTTGGAAATTGATGAAAGAAATCCAATCAGGACGACATCGAAAATTGAGGAAAGAAATCTAATTAGAGGACTGTCATAATCTTTTCTGGGAATGTATCCCATGATTACCCTTCAGCACTTGTTACTTTCAATCCTCAAACATTTAGTAGTAACTAATTGTTTGAAAGAAAACAGCCCGGCTTACAAATAGTGAAAATATCATAAGAGAGGAGTAGTTATACCGAATCGAACCCTAAATCTAACCTAATAATTATATTGTAGTGCTTTAATATATAAGCCTATCTCCTATTACCCATCGGTTTTTCATTCAGTGGTTTAAAACATGCATTGTTTTTACCAACTAGCTCATTGTTTAGTGACCTCTTTCAACCGATGAAAAATATCACAAGTTTTCCCTTCCTCTAATGATTAAAAAGAACATGGTATGTTTTAAGAAAACTCTCACCGGTAAGTTTACATACTTGATTAAAGAATCTTACAATTACAGCATGCTGCTTCATATTATGCAACATCAGTGATTTTGCTTCCAATCCTTTCATCATAACGACTCATTACCAACTCCAGATTTGTGTCCATAATTACAGTGTAATCAACACTTAAACATGTAGATGAAGGCTAATTTAATTTATCACTGCTTTAAAAATGCAAGGCCTTATTTTCCATGTGATCATCATCAAAATACATGAAACGTGGTGACGATTTGGTGAAGTCATGGAGTTGAACTAACATGGTCAACTCTCACTCACCAAACCCACAAGAAAGTGCGCATCCCAGGATTCCCGGCTGAGGGACTATTTGGATCTTGCATGCATTAACAAGACAATAGCTTTCCCATATCCAAAATTGGCAATACACATACATCAATGAATTTTGCCTCAAGCAGCAACCTTTCTAAACCCATCCTCAATAATTCAACATTATAGAAACAAGTCTTTTGTGTAAGATTCCATCAAAAAACAACCCCATACTTGAACACATCAGCGTTTGTGTTTCCTATGAAGCATTGCAGTCAGGGACTGCTCATGCCTACAAGTGAAGACAAATGCATCTATCTTGTCTCAAAATGCTCATATATAATTACAAAGCTCATTCATATGTCATTGGATTCTCACTTTTTGATCATCTCATAATGCAAACGGCAGATATATTGACACTGCAGGGCCTGCTAGCTGTAAAAGGTCGCAGTGAGTCCTTTTGTTTTATGGCAAGCACTGAAAGAGAAGGACATCAACACATTGATAAACTAGCCATTTATTCTGACAGAGAAATATTATTTAGACATAATTACAACCATTTGCACAGAAATTTTTACAATATAGAAGTCACCAGATTCTTGTAGTGGTCGACATGGATCCCCCTCATTCGGCCCCATTAGTACAAGCAGTCCTTGCTTTTGAGCTTCAAAACTGCCCCTGCCATTTCAGGAGGCAATCAAGCCAGTAAGTCGTCATTTCTTGCATCTCCAGATTGGGACTGAAACTCCCATTCCTCTCACCGACCTTACAATTGTTGAGAAATGTAAATTTTCTGAGGTCTCTCACTTCTTTTCATTCTTGTACAACAGAAAGTACCTAATGGCTCTTTACAATTTTTTTGAAACCTCACAAGGTGCTTGAAACCCGATATTTTCCACGGCTCCCACGGTCTTAAACAAGCGCCTCCTATTCACCTCTTCTACCAAAGATCGGTGTAGTAGGTGACTTCTTACGTCTACTAGCGACTTATTCCTCATCAATCTACGGCTATCCATGATCCTTTTATCTTTTGAACCAGATGCTAGAAAAGCTTTGCATCTCTCGTAGTATTTTTTAGCCATAGACTGCCCAGTATTACGGTTTTCTTCAGGACAAAACCTTGTGGACTTGTGACATTTTGATATGGGATGTTTGTCTCCTCCTGTGGGAATCGTATTAGTCCCATGCTCATTCCCACAAATGAAATTTAAGTTGGAATATGTTCCCGAGTGTGAAGAGCTTTGAGAGCTGGTCTCATCAAGAAAATCATCTGCACCAGCAATCATTTGCAATTGAAATTTATGCATGCTGAACAATGTTAGAAATGCATCATATATGCATGCAGATCATCAGGAACAGTGGTTAACTGGGCCGCATGCTACACACCCATCCCAATGTTCAAGTAACTTGGTCCACGGGCCACTTTCGAGGCCTAAAGTTGACTTTACTCAGGGTTTGGACATACGTACCCAAAACCAGCCTCAGCTGGAAAGGCATACATGCATGCTTGCTATATGTTATTACAAACGAACTGTCTTGATACTATTTTAAAATTTATAAAAAATAAAAATAAAAATAAAAATAAAAAAATTAGCAAAGGTGGGTCAGGGCATTGGGTATGAGCTCATAGTTAACAATTCTCATGTGATTCAAGGTTCTAGTTAGATTAAAGTTTCTTGACATATTTCTAGAGACTTGGGTTTAAACTCTTTCTTAACCAAGGATGAGTAATAAGCAATGGAACAAGGTTACAACTTACAACTAGCCCAATTGATCTCTAATGGATTTCAAAAAATAATAGGGGATAGTTACAGACATTGCAAATTAACTTAGTGAATTATATGAGCCATACCTTGGAGCCAATCACAGCCATTCGTCATTCCGTTAATCCCATGAGAGCTGATCAAGCCTGATAATGATGTGTGGGATGATGAACAGGAGGAGTGAGAGTGAGAAGGACGTTGAGGTCCATCATCATCATCTTGATAATTAATTGTGTGGTAGGCTTCAGTTTTCCAATTTGGTACCAAGGCAGATATCTCCCCTTCAATCATATTCGCAATTTCAAATGGCTCCCAATCAGTGATCTCCAATTCCTTCACCATTTCCGTAGCAACATCAAATGGTGTATCATTTAATATGTCAAAAGGAAAATATATGTTCCTAAAAGAACCTGCATGAGAAAACAGTAGAAGAAACTTTCACCGTTTGAATCTATTGAATTCACTTTAACTAGAACAACAGCCAGAGAAAGTTAAATAGTACCATCTTTATCAGCAATCTGAACTTTGAGAAAGATGGTGTCATCTTCAGGATTTAACTTCCCCGTGATTGTCATGTCAGTCCTGGTTTGATCATCACTCAATTGCAGTTTCTCCATTTCCTTGTCATTTAAAAATGGCTTTGGACGTCCAAGCTTTCCCAAAGGCAATGGTTCATCTTTACCACGCTCAAGAAATGGATCAAGCAAAAGTTCTTTTGCCGGTAATCTCTTTGAAGCATTTACTAAGCATTTTCCAACAAATCGTTGTGCTTCCAAGTCTTGAATCCGGTAGAATGCTCCTGGAAGCTTCCCCTGAAGAATTATAATGGCAGGGGGTAAGGTTCTTGTTCACTGATATCTATTAATCTTGACATCGAAACTTCACCTTACCGAGGTAACTTTCTTGTATATTTGTGCAGGGTTGACACACTCACTATATGGATATTCAGATGTAAGCATCTCCAAGACACACATACCGAATGAGTAGACATCAACTAGTTCATTGTAATTTTCGTCATATAGTTCTGGTGCCATGAACTCTGGGGTGCCTAAAAGTATAAGGACAAAAATACTTTTAGTGGAGGAAATAAGTGCCAGCATTTATGTGCTAATAATGGATAAACAAGTACCTATAACACTGTGAGCAGATTGGGAACCACGGAGGATTGCTGCAAGCCCTAAATCACCAATTTTGACTTGCCCAAGATGCCCATTGACAAAGATGTTGTCACACTTAAGATCTCTATGAATTACTGGAGGATCATTGCCATGCAGATATACAAGACCGCGAAGGATCTGACGGGCCCAGTTCTTGATGGCTCGGATGTCTACATGCTTATATTTCTTCCTATACCTGCAATATGAAAGATATTGCAGTTTATCAATACATTTACCAAAAGTGAATTGAATGTATCATGCTTAAGAATTGATATCCATGATAACAGTTCCCACTTAATGCATGTGCAAGGTTCTGCTGATCACATTGTCCTCATTAACCAAAATTGTAATTAAGATTACTTTTGAGGGGCAGAGGCTACAATTACAGTCTATTGCTACACTTTCTCCATTTGTCTATGATTTACCTAGTTCAAAAGATATGCAAGTTAAGGGGCTAGAGGAGTTGGAAAGGAAATTACTCTCTTAGCGTCCCCGAAGTGAACATTTCAGTAATGAAGTTAAAAGTTTTGTGATCAACATCGATCCAGGAGGTATAGAACCGAATTATGGAATCGTGATTGAGGGTGCTGAGGAGGTGAACCTCTGAGTAGAGCCGTTGCAAATCCTCTGGTGAGCGAAGGACTTCATTGAGTTTCACCTGATTCCATGCCACTTCCATCCCAAGAAGCTCATCAATTGCCTTGTACACTGTTTTCATTGCTCCTTTGCCAAGAACTTCTTCAAACTGTTCAAGACATGGAAAATGCACTTCAATAAATAACCAAATCTTTTATTTCTTTTTATTTGTTTGATTACATAAAGCAGAACAAATTAATTGACTCTCAACAATCAACTAAGGTGGTAACAAGATTCTTGATCATTCAGCATTAAAGTTCTCTGTAATAGTATTATTAGGGTGTCCCTTCAGAAATTATATAGCTATCCTCAACCATAACTTTACGATCATAGAAAACAACTGAATAAAATTGCGGTAGTGAAAATTAACTTTACAATCATACAGCACAATTAGAAATAGTTTATAGCTAGGTGCTTACATAAGCCAAGAAAGCCTTTTGCTTTTACTACTAACCTATTGAGGCATCACATTAAACAATCAACTCTATTCCCCAATTTTCTCAACTCCCAACAGGCACCATCAATCGAAGTCCAAAGGAGAGGGCTCAAAGCAAATGGAACAAATATTATAAGAGAAGAAATGGCATATTGTATCAAATTAACAATCTTTTTAAACACCATTTGTCACCAAAACTAATGGCCAATGGTTAAATATAAAGGCCACAGGGATCTCCCAGATGACACCTACTGATGCATAAATTAGATACTTAATGGTGGATTAGACAGTGACTTAACTAATACACACGATTGACCAAATAAACTATGTGGATTAGACAGTGACTTACCCAATACACAAGATTGACCAAATAAACTATTTCATCCTTTAGAACTGTCTATAAATTAACCACATACTTAATTGTTAATTATACTAATATATACATACATAAATACACACACACACATACATACATGAACAGAATTTTGATCAGCTACTCATGGTGTGAGCAAGAAATCCATTGGATTAAACTCCAACATCTGATACTCAAATCCTACCCAGGACAGAGTCTAATACCTGCTTCCAAAGTGTAAGATCATATCCATGGTTTCAGCTAGTATTCAAAACCCATTTATTTAAACAACTCAACTTAAAGAAACAAACAAAATCATCAAACTTTGGTCAATAAAGAACTATAGCATCATCATTAATTTATGAAAAAAGCATAAGCAACTTGTGCACATTAAGAAACAACAGCACAGAGAAAACAAATTAATGGTAAAGACTGAATGAATGGATGAATGGTAGTAACATGCATGCACATACCCGGCCATAGCGAGCAGTAGGATCGGTTTCAACATAACCAGCCCTGTCAGTCTTGGACATGTTTGAGTGAGGCTTTCAAGCTTCAAGTAATGAAGGCCCAAAAGACTTCAAGATCAACCCCTTTTTTTTTTCTTTTTCTTTTTTTCTTTTTTTGCGTCGTGTTGCTTAAGAACTATGATGAGCAAAGCAGAAAGTGATGGTGCAAAGAAGAAGATTGTTGGGAAGAAAACTAAAGGGTAGCTAGAAATATAATCAAAGGTGGGAAAAATAAGTGAAAGTTGGAAACTTGAAAATCAAATCCGAGGCTTTCCCTCGTGGTTTTCGTAGAAGAAGACACCAAACAAGAGCCAGAAGAGCCTTGAGTAGTCAATCCTCAGCATAATCCAACCCATTCCCACAACCACAGCGCATGACACCCCCTCGTACTTGTTAGCAACCATTTGGTTTGGCTTCTTTTAAAATATATGTTGAAATTTCAGAGGCAAAGAATTGAAAGAGAGAAAATATTTTGGAAGGAATAATAAATTGGTGGGGTGGAGGCAGGGACAATTTGGGAAATTCAAAGTTGAGAGTAATTTGATCGGGTACGAAACTTGAAGAATCTGTGGCTACACTTTGTTGGTACCATTTGTTTGTGGGAAAGGAGGAGGAAATCCAAATCCCAAAAGGAAGTTTGCTTGCTGCTCTGTGGCTCTTGTGGTTGTGGGAAAACAAAATTGAGCTTTCAAGTGGAAGAAAGATGATGGTGAGAAGAACTAAACTCCACAATAAATAGAGAGTGACAGAGAGAGAAGCAACACAACTACACCAGTTAGTACTAGACTGAACAACAACAACAGATGTAACAGTGGTCCCTACTCGACATAGCTTAGGCCGTGTCTGGGTGGGTTGCTATTGCGTCAAATACTTTGGCCTTTTGCCCTTTGGGGGCTTAATATAGGTTTCCAATTTGGCTTACCATCATTAAACAGTTGACTAGGCTTATCCAACAACAACAACAAAGAGGAAGGGAAATTTGAATTTGAAACCTCTTCTGACGTTGAAAGTTCTTCTATACACTCGGAAGGTAAATACCTTTTACACATACTCAAAAATATTTTCATGTATTTCATTTTAATTAACAATGAACATACTTTGATTAGCTAATAATCAAGTGTTTTAGTGACATCCTGAACAACAATAAAGATTTTTAGAAGAAAAAAAAATTGGTCAATTTTGATACATAAAATTTTGTTGATGCTTATTGAATAATGGGCTTGACTTTAGATGGATTGGTGGATCTCTCCCAAGTGTTTAGTAGTAGTGGGTTGACAAATCAATCATCCTTTCAAATGATCTTTTCATGCACCTGTACATTGGGGTCCCTCCACTCCACTTATTTTATTCTTATCCTCTCTGTTATTGATTTCTTCTTCTTCTTTATCTTAATATTTGGCTACCTTTATATAAAAGGCTTTTATTCAGCACATCTAAGAATGAAATGACCTCTAAACAAATCATTGCCTCTGTCTGTCTCAGATGAATCCATTAAGCTGTTTCAAAGCCTTTTGAAGATTTATCACCAAATATTTTTATACCATAAAGAAAATAAAAGTTTATTTGGCTGACCAAACCAGGCATGCATTTATGCATACGCGCCACCCTCGCTCTGTTTGATTTGCTTTGGATTACAACAGAAAATACTTGTATTGATAGAACTATAATTAACAAGATAAAATCTGAAAACCCTAGCTAGTAAGTATGCATTAAGTTCAGCATTAAAACAAATAATTCATAATTAGGTGGTTTATAATGCAAGGTCAGCACACCTAATGGATAAATTTTGAAATGAAATTTAAATATAAAAAAACATGTGAAAATCATTTTGGAGCTATTTGCTTTTCTTTGTGCCGAATCTAATCATTAGAGTAAAATAATTACCATAAAATAAGTTACTGTTCATAGTCATCCAACTCAACAAGTTGCAATGTACATGCACTACGAATAACAAAATAGTCAACTCAGTGATTGTTTCAAATATGCAACTAGTGCAGATACATAGTTAGCTTATAGCTTAGAAGATTAATTAGGCAACTTTGCCGATTAATTTTACAGACGTGCAAACAACACAAAGAAAAATTAGGATAACAAAAATACCGAAGATCTTGTTTTGATTACTTGACAAATACTTTTGTGATTTATCATACGTGATCAATGACGGTAGATCGACACGGATAAATTCTTGATAGTTTTATTTAAAGTAATTTATAAACTTTAGAGTGATGTAAAGGCGGAAGGCAATTGAAATGAAATAGGCAAATAAAAGGAATTTAGACATTTTACTGAATTTGAAGTTTAACTGGGAGCAAAAATGTTGCTTTGAAATCCAAACCAATAATTAGGTATTCTTCTTAGAGCACTTTCACCTATTTGTCATGGCAAAGGGTAAGGCAAAGACTGTTACTATTCACATAAATAGTGGCAGCCCTTGCAAAATGCTTCTTGTGTTTCTACTCATTGTCATGGCAAACTATTCACTTAATTTTTTTTTAAAAGAAAAAATTCAAGTTTTAAAATTTTGGTAGGTATTTATAGAAAAAAAAATTCAAAATTTTTTTGGTTTTTTATTTTACACAAAAATTAGCAGCCGTTAGATTAAAGGAAAATTGTTTATTGGAGAAACCAAGACGTGACACATGGCTTGTAGCCTTTGGCGAAAAGTAGGGCTGACACAAGGCTGGCATTAGCTCACGCGAGTTTCAAACACATGCCAATGATTAAAAAAATTTGAATCCCATGCGATGACGCCAGCTTGGTGTCAGCACCCTCGAGCAGGAGCTCAAGCTAGTTTTGTCTTTGGGCTTGCTCAGGTTGGTGGTCCTCACCATTTGCCCTTACTGTAGAAGCCCAGTGAAACTGCGCTTGGGGGCTCAGGGCCCCTTTGCTCGGCCCAGCCTTCATCGCTGGAAATGCCCTTAGTGCCTCCCCAATTAAGACTAATTTTGTTTCTTTCCAATTTTCACCATTTTGTCATAATCTAGCAAGGGGGAGAGAGAAATGAAGGCCAAATTGAAGAGAAAGAGAGAGAGAGATAAAAAGAGGAAGAGAGATAGAGACATTTAAGAGGTTGGTGGGGTTGAGTTTCTACTTTTATATTTGATTTGCAAGATAAAGAGAAAGAAAATAATAATAAAATATTTCAGAGTAACCAAAATAGAGAACATTACTGAAGGAAATACCTTTTAAATGATTTGTTATAATAAAATTTAGCTATTTTAATTAGAATTTTGCTAAAATTTGAAATCTCTCATGGAAATGCTCATAGGTCACAATCAGTACCGGCATTTATATGATGATGCATGTATTTCTATTTTGTCTTATATTAAGCTTCAATCTCCACGTGCTATGGTTGGCGGCAGACGTGTAGTTGGGAGTATGGAGTGGACAAACTATTATAATAATAATAACTATTATAAAACGTACTTACTTATTTAATTTATTAAAAAAATAAAAATCAGATGTAATGAAGAAAAAAAAATCAGATGCACCAGCCGGGAATCGAACCCGGGTCTGTACCGTGGCAGGGTACTATTCTACCACTAGACCACTGGTGCTTGTTGATGATTTGCCTTGTCAAGTTCCATCTTATCTCTCAAACAAACCAACTGCCAGGGTCCTAAGTCATCGGTATTGCCACTCTCTGTGGTCGGAACCAGCGTATTCACGTTCTTCAATCAGGTGCCTAAACACAGGAGACTCTCTCTCTCTCTCTCTCTCTCTCTCCTCACTCACGAGACTTGCGGATTTACATCAATCTTGTTCATCGGGTGTCAATACGGGATAGAAACTCGCCTGTCACGGGATCTATACCGGTTTATGATAGCCTAGGTAGGTTATTTCCCAAGCAGAGTTTCCTATATGGTTCACAGCCTGTGCCGCTGCTCAAGTTCAATAGACAGTACTCTATACCAAACGAAATTTTATGATATCCAACATAACCTTCGACCCAAAAAAGAAAAGAAAAAAAGAATCTAACATAAACAAAATTTTCATTGTTACATCTATAGATTTCATCATGTGTATACTAACCAGTATCTAACCGAAAATATACCTAACAGAGGCTTCTCAGTACTGTGTTTATAACTCTCCAAACTTTGGGAGGGAATGCGAAATGAGGGGCAAACTTCACCCCGTATATACATCATCCACCCAACCCAATCAAAGCACACAAATGTGCGTGTCTATTCGGAAAATGAAAAGCGAACCAGAATGTACAACATATGTATGCTACATCGAACCAACAAACAACGCAGGACCCCAAAAAGAGTTGAAGTCAGGGGAAGATGTCTCATCAGAAGCTCAGTCTAGTGTGTTAGCATCTACAATTATAAGTGTCTTCATTCTCCAACGCATAATCCTTCCTTCAAAGGCACTTGAGGGGTGAGGGGGGGAAAATCGTCATCATTTTTCAGATGATATGACTGCTCTTCAATCCTAAAGACGCAAAAAAGCAAGCGAGATTTAGCTTTACAATAAGAGCTATTCCTTAACCATGTCCATTTTCAGTTGCCATTGTGCAGGAAAAATTTTAAATTACTAAATCCAAGTACCTCTCCTCATTGGCTCTGAATAACTCTGATTGACTGTCCACTTCTGGAATGTGTGATTCCCATGATGGAGGTGACAAGGATCTACACTCAGGTTTCTCTGGCAAGTTGGACAAACCAACGTCATGGAAAGACTCCCAGATTGAAAGGTGAGGTGGATGGTAATCTGATTTTGCAGAGTTTCCACGACCTAGAACTGGGTACTCTGCTTCTGAGAGCTGGCGGTTGTATTCTCTCTGTGAGATTGACTCTTGAGGGGCTGCAGCAAAGCCATAACTAAAAGCGTGTCTCTGCAATGGAAAACATGTTCCTGGTGCCTGTTTCCTTCCCCTTCCAGGCAAGAACCTATCCTTATAGGGACGATAACTCTGAAAAGACTGTAAGCAGATAACCATGAGATTATGAAAACCATAATAACTGGGACTGTAGTCCTCTGCTGTGAATGACTCAGTATAAAAACAAAACCCCAAAAATAAAAAGCCCATGAATATAAAGACAGGATTGCAGCCCAAAAAATTGATTCTATAGGAACCAGAAAAGCCACTACCGCATTGGGGATGTACGTCCCTGTTCCTCGTGGTTTCTTCTTCTCTCCTCTGAAGGCAGCAACAGATAAAGTGGAATCATTTGCATGGTACGCATGTGCTCCCCAAGCAATACCATTTATGTTAGTTTGGGAATTAATATTCTGGTGGAACTGAACAGCTTCAGAGGTAACTCCCCATTGATTCTCTTTCCATGGCTGAGGCGACAAAGGAGGACTTGGCAATAAAGGAGGTGATGTAGCAGACCCAGGGAAATAGGGACCATATTGCAGGTTCAAGCAGTGATTGTCAAAATCTCCACCAAGCTCCAACAAAATGTTCAGAGCTTCAAGACCTCCAGATAAGGCATCATTTTTATCATTAGTCTGACAGTTGCTTCCATGCCTATCTAAAGTGTTTGCAAAAAACTTGTTCAGCTCATTTGCTATTCTTTCTCCTGGTAACGAAAGAATCCAACCAAGCTTGCGAGCTCCATATTTAAAAGCACTGCATATCCGATAGAAGCTACCTGTAGAAAACCCATCAATCATTATCCAGTGACAACACATACACACTAGAAAGTAGAGAGCATATCTAGCTATTTGTTATGGTATTCCCCTAAAACTCCACAGGGAAGATGTCTCATCAGAAGCTCAGTCTAGTGTGTTAGCATCTACAATTATAAGTGTCTTCATTCTCCAACGCATAATCCTTCCTTCAAAGGCACTTGAGGGGTGAGGGGGGGAAAATCGTCATCATTTTTCAGATGATATGACTGCTCTTCAATCCTAAAGACGCAAAAAAGCAAGCGAGATTTAGCTTTACAATAAGAGCTATTCCTTAACCATGTCCATTTTCAGTTGCCATTGTGCAGGAAAAATTTTAAATTACTAAATCCAAGTACCTCTCCTCATTGGCTCTGAATAACTCTGATTGACTGTCCACTTCTGGAATGTGTGATTCCCATGATGGAGGTGACAAGGATCTACACTCAGGTTTCTCTGGCAAGTTGGACAAACCAACGTCATGGAAAGACTCCCAGATTGAAAGGTGAGGTGGATGGTAATCTGATTTTGCAGAGTTTCCACGACCTAGAACTGGGTACTCTGCTTCTGAGAGCTGGCGGTTGTATTCTCTCTGTGAGATTGACTCTTGAGGGGCTGCAGCAAAGCCATAACTAAAAGCGTGTCTCTGCAATGGAAAACATGTTCCTGGTGCCTGTTTCCTTCCCCTTCCAGGCAAGAACCTATCCTTATAGGGACGATAACTCTGAAAAGACTGTAAGCAGATAACCATGAGATTATGAAAACCATAATAACTGGGACTGTAGTCCTCTGCTGTGAATGACTCAGTATAAAAACAAAACCCCAAAAATAAAAAGCCCATGAATATAAAGACAGGATTGCAGCCCAAAAAATTGATTCTATAGGAACCAGAAAAGCCACTACCGCATTGGGGATGTACGTCCCTGTTCCTCGTGGTTTCTTCTTCTCTCCTCTGAAGGCAGCAACAGATAAAGTGGAATCATTTGCATGGTACGCATGTGCTCCCCAAGCAATACCATTTATGTTAGTTTGGGAATTAATATTCTGGTGGAACTGAACAGCTTCAGAGGTAACTCCCCATTGATTCTCTTTCCATGGCTGAGGCGACAAAGGAGGACTTGGCAATAAAGGAGGTGATGTAGCAGACCCAGGGAAATAGGGACCATATTGCAGGTTCAAGCAGTGATTGTCAAAATCTCCACCAAGCTCCAACAAAATGTTCAGAGCTTCAAGACCTCCAGATAAGGCATCATTTTTATCATTAGTCTGACAGTTGCTTCCATGCCTATCTAAAGTGTTTGCAAAAAACTTGTTCAGCTCATTTGCTATTCTTTCTCCTGGTAACGAAAGAATCCAACCAAGCTTGCGAGCTCCATATTTAAAAGCACTGCATATCCGATAGAAGCTACCTGTAGAAAACCCATCAATCATTATCCAGTGACAACACATACACACTAGAAAGTAGAGAGCATATCTAGCTATTTGTTATGGTATTCCCCTAAAACTCCACAACAGCGAGAGAGAGAGAAAGAGAGAGAGAGAGAGAGAGAGATATATATATATATATATATATGGAGGGAAGATGCATACCTCTATTGACACTACGCCCAAGGTTGTTATTCTCTTTTAGTGGATCAATTATATTAAGATGCTTCAGGGGAAAAGATCGCAAGTTTGTCTCACACAACTTTGATGGAACAGAGAACATTTCCACACAATTTCTAATAAATTCTTCGCTCAGCAGTAGATCATCTCCCCCATTTTCGGGAACCTCAGCTGCAGTGTAAGTGAGTGAGTATGTGAGAGAGTGAGAGAGAGAGAACACAAAAACAAATAGAGCCATTTAACATTACAAGGACACAAGTGTATCTCATACCCACTATATCAGGCAGGGACGATTTGCATACTGGTCCATTTAAACTTATACAGTAGTTCTCCCAATCAAATTTGCTGAAGTAATCCAAAAATCTATAAAGGACCTATAAAAATGAAACATAATTAAATGCTTGAACTTCTAGAACTCAAAGTTGATTTGTGCGAGGACTCACCGTTAAAGGGCCATCTAGAGAAGAATGAAACATATGGAAAATATATAGGATTAATGTTTCCAAAGCATATGTTGAAATCAACCCATGATGAGCACCAAGAATACGACTCTCATAGTAGCACCAGGCTTTTATCAGAATAATGCTGCGTTTGAAAAGATGATGTTTGCCAATATAGTGATCGACCTGTGTAACAAGAAACATGAGAAATATGACCAAATGATCAAACTTGAGTGAACTTTCATAACAGTAATAGCGTACATAAATTATTAGAACAAGAATGGAGTCATCTGACTCAGTTATACAGTACCAATCATACCTGTTCAAGAAAGCGCAGTGTACAAAGTCCTCCTAACTGGTTGAAGGATATATCTACTACTATATTTTGTACAATGCATTTCACAAGCTTAACCTGCAATCAAAACCCTAAACTTTAAATAATTGAAAACATTTAGCAACACAACTACATTTGCGAACCGGCTTACAATATCTATTTTATTCTGCACTACAGGAAAGGTCACAGTAAGTCTGCAAAAAATTGGTCAGAACAAAAAACATCAATCTCAAAATTCTGCCAAATACACATTACCACTGACATTCTAGGAAACAAGAAATCATGAATAACAAAGAACAGAAACAAATAATAGTAGCATTGTATGGTGATGCAAAAAAAAAAAAAAAAAATTGCCACATAATACCTACATGCAAGACTCCAACTCTAGCCCTACATGGAATTGAACATGTTTCCCAAAACAAAATTAAGGCATCGAGGTGGGAAGAACCTCGGCATCAATGCAATGGACATCCTTCACAAGATACTGAGCAGCTTCATTATTCTCCTCTCCCTTCAGGATAGCATGAACATCAGTTACAAAGCTTTCCTCAATGTTTGCACTGCTGAATGCCGTCAAATCAATATCTCCATCAGGAAGATATGATTTTAATGGAACTGACCCATACGGAAAAACCTGTGAGATTAACAATACAAAATTGCAAACTTAACTTATAAGAAAGTCAATGAAATGGAGAAGCTCAGAAACAACGTTGGTAATGTCACTGGCTCCTCGAATAAAATGAACTAGAAAACAATATTGCATCATAGTTTTCCACAAGTACCAACATTACATCACTAAATGGCAATCAATATGGGAAATACAACTTTTAAGTTAATATCTTAAAAAACCCACCAGTAATGCTGAAGACAATATGGTTCATTTTAGCCATCAACAATGCAGACCTCTAAAACAATTATGATCCAAATAGAAACCCAATTATTTGTGCAAAGTATTAATACTTTGAGCTCCTAAGAAAAAGTCAATTTCCACTTCTTGAAATCATTATGTTAGGAAACTAAGGCCAATCACATCACAAGTAACAGCTCGGTTACCATACATGAAATGGGGCATTACCAGCTACACCCAAACAGCCATTAGAGCAAAAATGATACAAAAACCAACACTACCCAAGATTGAAAACTGGAAATGAAAGAAATGTAATTGGATACAATTGTAATTACCTTACATCTAACGTTAGATGTGATGAGGCTCTGTACATATTGAATAACCTCCTTCCTCGCCTGGTGGGTCACCAGAGTGGGCTGAATCTTTGAGACTATGTCGCGGGTTGCGTCCTCGCCTCTGGCCCAAGACTCGGGGCTGACGGCGGAGGGATCGGGATTGGAGGTCGGCAATGACGGGGATGGCGGCGAAGGGCAGGGTCGATCTTCACGAAAAACGTCACCGTTTGGCCGCGGCGAACAGACTTTAAGATGAGCCATGAAATTGAACAATGAAGACAAAATTGCAGGGGAGAGAGAAGAAAGAGAACAAGAAACGAAATTGAAGAGAAAGAACGAGGCAGGGCAGGAGAGGGAAAACGACGTCGTAAACGGAGTGATTAACGGAGGAAGAGAGAGAGAGAGAGAGAGAGAGAGAGAGAGAGGGTGTGTTTGGAAGGGAAGAACAGTTTCGTTTGTGTCTTGAGGAAAAACCTTTTAAAAACCCCCCAAACCCATAACGCAAAAGCGGCAAAAAGCCTCTCTCTTCTCTTGTTCTGTTTCGTTTTTTCTTTTTTTCTTCTTAATTTTTTTTAAATTCTGCCGCAAAGCGACGCGACGCAATGCAAGCGCAAGGCCGCGAGGGAAAACGCATTATTTCGCCGCGGCAACTCTACGCCAGACCGACACCGCAACACGCTGACGCAAAGAAACGTTCCTTCTCCTCTGTCCTCTACTTAAACGTCGTCGTTTTTGGCTGGCTTTCTAAACCTTGGGGATCCTTATCCCCTAGGGATTTATGAGTTATCCATTTCCTATTGTTTTTATTTGTTCGCTGCTGATTTTGGTAATATTTCCATTCTTTCTAACTATGATTTTATAAGATTATATTCCTTTCACAACACCCACGATGCTGGCGGTAAGTGTTTACTATAACTATTTATGTGTGGCAAATGACCCACTAGTGTAGTGGTTTTGAGCAATTGCTCCTCTAAAGAATGTCATAAGTTCGAGTCATAACATTTATATAGTGTGTGTGAATTTAGTATATTATCGATCATTTCAATAGAAAATGTCCTTAAAAAAAACTATTTATGTCCGTGACAACCGCCTAAAATGATATGACAATAGTAAAAAGGACTCCCAAATGGGCAAAAATGTAGATACATGGCAACAACTAACAAGTCTTATTTACCAAAAGAAAACAAGACACCAAGGCAAGGCACAAACATTAGGCAAGCAAGCAGTTTAAATAGACCACTTCTCCTATCCTAGCACAAAGAAAATAATGACATTATGTGTGGATTTGGAAGCAGTGCATACACTCCACATGGTTTCTTTGAATATTTAGCAGCTTTCGTTATCATTACTTTTGACCCTCTTTTTTAAAGTCTCATCATCCGATTACAGACGCAACAACAACACATGCATGTTTGCTCTGGCTCTTTGTAGACCTGGCATCCAATTCCTACACCCACGGTCCACCTATTAAAAAAAAAAACACATTGCATCCTTCTCTCCTTCAACTATCAATTGCCAGCCATCCTTATCCCATTTGACGTGCGTAGAATTAAATTGGATTAATTCATAAAATTCAAGGTCTCATTTGACCACGTTTGGTGCTTATAATTAAATTGGATAACTCATGAAATTCAAGTAAGAAATCAATGCAGAGTTAAAGGATGTATCATTTTGTGAGATTAGAAAAATAAGTTATAAGATGTTGACATCCTGCACATATTAAGGTAAGTTTCAAGCCAAATACGGCGTTAGAAAAAAGGAAGTAGGATATTTGGCTTGCCTTCTTAACGGAATTTGAAGGACAAAGCAAAACCAGCTGAATTCAACAGCGCCCACCGAAAAATCTGCTGAAAAACATGTTAACGCATCACATCTTCTTTACCATTAGCGTGCGGTAAACAATGCCAAAGCCACCTAAATTATGAAGTTAAAATAGGTAAGAACTGGGAAAATGAGATCATCTGCTTTACATCTAGTGCCAAACATTGTGTCCAATTATTTCCACCCAGCATAACAGAAAATTGAAGCAAGTGAAATAATATGCGTTTCATTTCTTTTCAAATCTTTTTTTAGCATTTCATGCATCAACCTTTTCAGGTAATCAAACCAGGCAGTCGCAGCGGATCAAGGATCATCCCAACAACCAGGTCAAGTTCTTTGCTAGAAGTCATAGCTCAAACGAATAAAATTGATGGCAACTTGTAAGAATATCACTTCATACTACAGCCATTGGAAAAAAAAAACTCAGGTTTTAAATCACCTGCTACCTTTTCCAATTACCTTAGCACATGATGATACTATGACATATAAGATTAAACTCAACTGATACTACACACTAGTTATAATCCGAGTCAAACACACGTTCAACAATAAAATGGAAATAAGGCAAAGGGGGCAGCCAAAAGTAATGGCCTCAATGCACATCCTCAATGCAATAGAGCAGCAGATGTGGTGTCTTTTCATGGACGAGCAGCTGGCGCTCCAGCTGGGCGCGGAGCCTGACCAGGTGCACCAGGAGCAGCAGGCCTAGGTGTATCCTCCTGATATGCACAAAGAGAAATAGAAACGTTAACTAAAAGAACATGAAAGAGATGAATCATATATGCAAATAAAAACCTAGACTTGCAAACAGCTGAATACAAAAATCAAAAGCAAATATTAGAAATTTATCAGGAGAAAATACTCTGCCAGTGAATATAGAGATAATATTATGATGGTAAATATAATCATGTACTAAAACGACAAATTCAAACCAAAATCATTTGCCATCTCAGCTCCTTAATGTCATTAACAAAGAAAGGACAACGATCACACAACCAAATAATGTGAAGCATATCATGCCAAGTTTGAACATTTACCCAACTTCTTCATGATAAAAATAAGAACTAGGAAGAAAACGGCAAGCTAAGTTTCACTCTAAGTGCTTAAAGCGTGCACCTAGATGACTAGCACAAAATTTCTAATGCTTGCAGATTTGATAACCTCAATGCAAATGCATTTCAGTCTAAAAATTAACTAACCAACCTTGCTCGCTATTTCCATAAAAAGATAAAACATGCAAGTCCTGACTGTATCCTAAGAAAAAAGGCATATAGAACAGAGTCTTTGACATTGGGCACATTTGAACCTCTTATTAAGAAATTCATCGTGGTATCAAGTATTTAGCTCCTACATTTATGAAGTTTGTACATATAGAGACTCATCCACTGAAATATAATGTACAATGTTCCAATTCTAGACACCAAATTATGAAAAGATACAAGTATTGAACAAACAGAAATCATCGGATTTAAAGAAAGTGAACTTCACACTGAACCATAGACTAAAAGACATAGAGGCAGAACCTAAAAGCAAATAACAGATATAAAATAAATGGCTGATGAAAATTAGAACATACCCGACGCCTGAAACGCTGTGGGGGTTCACGGTTCCTTCTGTTTTCCCGCGATCGAACCCTCACAACATGAGAGTGGATGGCGCAAGAAACACAGTATTGCATCTTTGCATACAGCTTAGGAAGAGTGTAAGCTTCAAATAGCATTCCCAGTAAAACATTATCAGCACAATAATCAATATCAAAATGCAAAAATTAAAACAAAAAACAAAATCAAATACGCAGATTACACATTATGAAGAAGAAAAAAAAACATTAAACAGAAAAGGAGCAAAAAAATTACCATCATAAACACAAGCCTCCTGGACATCCCTAACTGCAGCTTGCTCAACAATGTTCCTCACCAGAAACCTCTTGATAGCTTTGTCCTTTTTCACACAAACCCAATACCAAATTTAGCCTAAAACTAATTAGAAAACCAAAACCGACCTGAAATTCCTAATAAACCTAGAAAATTCATATTGAACTTGGTTATTAAAGCTTATACTTTCTAAATATTTAAACTCCAATGACAAACGAAAGGGTGAGTGAAAACACCTTAGGGCAGCATTTGCCACAGTTAGAGCAACGGATGAACTTCACATGGCCACGGCCATGCTTGTTTCTCCCGCCGTTTCTTCTCTTGAAAGTCTGCAAACAGAGACATATACAGGGAAAGATAGATGAGGATGAAGATGATACAATGTGAAATTAACATTAAGTTAAACTGAAATTTGGGGGAGCTAAGCTTTACCATAGTGACTGACTTCCGAGAACTGAACCCTAAGCCGTCTCGATCTGAGCTTTCTGCTGCTAATGCTTCGGCGGCCTTTCAGAGTAAAAAATATACAAGAGGACGATATATATGCGCTTTGTGCACTAGGGTTTTGCGGGGCTCTTACAATCTAGTCGGGCCGGGTCCGCTAAAGTCCTTCTGTTGTCATTTTCTTTTTCCTTTTTCTGGGGGATCAATTTTTATTTTTATTATTAAATACATTTATAATGATTTTTTAATTACCATCTTCATATTTTCAAGGTTAAAAAGATTTTGTTTTCTTTTGGTCAAAAGTTTCCTTTTGGGTCTTCGTCTGTAATTCTTATTGACTGTTATTGACATTTTTCACTTTGTTCAATTCTTGGTTGCTAATATTTTGTCTATCATATTAGTATTGTTTCAAGAAATTTCGTTTCGCCATAATTTTATTTCAAGTATGATTTTGCTAAGGCAGATGTAATAATTTCTCCTTTCGAAATTGGGATTGCTCGAATGTCCCTCTTTCTTTTCAACTCGAAATTGCTCGAAATTGCTCAAATCCAAACCCTAAACAGTTTTGTGCACATCCATCCACAAACCAAAATCATCAAACTGTTTCACAAGTGATCCATGGGCAAAGATAATTACAAACCAAAATAAGAAAAGTGATCTACAATATGGAGCTCCATGCTTCACCATTGTCAACTTAAGTAAACACATAATTCATTTGTTATACAGGGTTTATTACACAGAAGAGGAAAATAGATTCTCAGAAAAAAGAAGAAAAAAAGGAACGAGTTCGCGAAAGCTGATACCCTACGCATCACCAAAAATGACGGAAGTCTCATTACAAGTTTTGGACTCCCATCAACAGATGCCTATTATTCCTGTACAAACTGGGCAGATAATTGCAACTTACCAGGGCTGTGGTTTTGCCTCAAGGACATTCTTTCTCATACACGTCGCTTGCATATTTCCAGTTAATAACCTTCCATATGTTCTTAAGATAATCTGGCCTCACGTTTTTGTACTGCACAGATTTCAATAGTTGAAGTTGCTAAGGTATATCTCATAATGAAGAATCAAGACAGACAGTTCAAGGCCTAAATAGCTCAAAAGCATGAACTTGATAAAATCCCATAAGGGTATATCAAAAATTCAGTTTCAGACATCACAGCAAAGTATAGATGAATTTCAGGTGTCATTCCACCACATATTTTACCTTTTTATCAAACTACTAGCACACCTTCAGTATCTCAAGTATTGGAACAAAGCAGAAAGTCTAAAAGACCTTATTGAATCAAGCACTTTTGTTCAGTGTCAACTAGTTATGAAACAGCCATATTCCGGTAACAAAAGTACCAAAAAAAAACAGCAAATTTACCTGCAAGTAGTAAGCATGTTCCCATACATCTATCCCCAGGAGAGGAACATAACTTGATCCTTTGGCAACAAGCGGATCCTACATAAAGTTTAAGTTAGGCAACACAATACGCCACATATCCTGAAAATTGGAATACTAATTTACCATCAAGAGAAGTAAATTCAATGGAACTAAAAGTGTGTGGCATCTGTGTATCAATTAGCTTCAGCACAATAACGCATTAAAAGTGCCCTTTAAATTATCGGCGGGAACCAATGAGTACGTAAAAAGCAATAGATATAAAACTTAAAAGCAGCACATAGCATCTCCACATCTAAAAAACTAAATGGTGTATATACCAAATGACTTCAATTGAATCAATTGAATTGCAACGCACAAGTGAAGTACACTATACCTGATTGAATGTTGTTTCAATAGAAAGCCTCTTCTGATCGTTGTCAAGAGCAAGCCACTATCAACAATTTAAATACACATAAAATCTTAATACTTGGGTTGGGTCTACTCACTTTCCCAAAATCCATTTAAAAACTTTGAATATAAGAAACAGCAAAGCAAAGTAGCAGCAAAAGGACCTACCACCCAACCAGAACCTTGCAAAGCAGCACCTTCAACATTCATTTTCTGAACCAGGGAATCTAAGGAACCAAACTGATTCTCAACTGCCCATGCTAAGGAACCCTTTGGAGGCTCACCACCTCCTTCCTGCCCATTACAATTTATTACACAATTTCAAAATAGGAAAAAGAAAGCCAAAATATTAAACCCAAATAAAATGAATACAAAATTGGGACTTGGAATATGAACGTACTCGAACAGGGGTCAGATTTTTCCAGAAAACAGAGTGGTTTATATGACCTTCCACATCAAAATACCCATAATTAATCAATTAATTAATTAATAAGTAAAAAATAAAAGAGATATCAAATACAAGGTTGAGTGAAATAAGAACGAACCTCCGCCGTTGAATTTGATGGCACTCTGTAATTTGACGATGGTGGGGGAGTGGCCTTTGTCCATGGCCTGGTCAAGGTGCTCGAGGGCTTTGTTGAAGTTGGTGACGTAGGTCTGGTGGTGCTTCTGGTGGTGGAGCTGCATGATCTCTCCGCTAATGTAGGGCTCCAGTGCCCCATAGTCGTAGGGCAGGTCGGGCAGCGTGAAGGTCTTCAATCCACGGACTGTCACAAGCCCTAACCCTAACCCTAAGCCCCCGCCATTTCTGCTTAGACCTGCTAGACCTCTCCTGCTTACAGTTCTCAGCGCCATTTCAAAGATGAGCGTCGCAAGCTCTCAGTGGAAAAGTTGCACTGGTCACAGCCTCTAATCGGAAAAACTTGTGCACGACACGTAAGCCCGATAACGTGGCACATCTACATTTTATGATGGAAAATATATTTTCTTTAATCTTTTTGCTTACATGAAAATTAGAATTCTAATCATACCATACAAGATACGTTTTTAAATCTCTTTACATACAACACAAGATCCTTTAGCATAGAATTCATATCTTTTTGCTTAAAGGATCAAGTTAGCGGGGTCCTTTTTATTTATTTATAAAACATACATAGATATTGTGATTTTTTTTTTAATTGTTTTTGCTCTATTTTTGTTTATCGATAGCTTAGAGGATTATCCTTTACTATTATGCTATTACCCGAGTCTCTATTGTCCCCTTTTGAATTTTTACTTTTTCAAAGTTATTACACGTATAAAGAATTTAGCATTTTTAAGTTTAATACTCGTATTGTACTATTTTTCATGTTTAATACATTTAGTTTTTACAAAATTTTCAATAATATGCACACAAACAAAAAATATCAATTATTATACACATAATTCTCGCATAATAATATATATTAAAAAATTTACATCAATAAAGTATATATATCCAAACAAGCAAATTAGTATCCATAAAGTATAAATTAACGCAAATAGAAGGGTCCTTGTTGTATGACTTTTTTAAATAAATAGTATAGCCGTGCGGCTCTACTCGTTTTTATAAAAAAATAGTATAGCCGAACGGCTGTACTATATTGCCACTTGTCACCGAATCGGACAATAGGCGCTAGCCGGGTCCTCTGTTGTTTTTTTTGGGATCAAAAATAGTAAAGCCGGGCGGCTATACGCTGGATTTTATTTTTTTTTCCAAATGAGTACAGCCGATCGGCGTTACTTGGGTTGTTTTTATTTATTTATGAAAATCGTATAGCCGGGCTGCTGTACTGTCTTGCCACTTGCCGCCGAATCGCTATTTGGACAATGGGCGCTAGGGAGGTCCTCTGTTTTTTTTTTTAAATTAGTATCGCCGAGCGGCTAGACTTTGGAATTTTTTTTTTAAATTGAGTACAGCCGCGTGGCGTTACTGGGGGGTTTTGTTTTTTTAAAACAGTATAGCCGGACAGCTATACTCTTTACATAGATACTTTGAAAAAAAAAAAAGTATTATCCATGACTATTAGGCCATTACCCAAGTTTCTATTGTCTCCTTTTTAGTTTTTACTTTTTCAGAGTTATTACTCGTATAAAGAATTTAGCATTTTCAAGTTTAATCTCGTATTGTACATATATGTATGTATTTTTCATGTTTAATATACTTGGTTTTTTACAAAATTTTCAATAATAGAGACAAAATTCACGTATTATACATATAATTTTTGCATAATATTGAATAAATATAATATATATATTAAAAAAATTAAAACTATACAATATATATATCGGAACTAGTAAATTAATATCTATAAAGTATAAATTAATGCAAATATAATGATCCTTTTTTTATAATTTTTTTAAATAAATAGTATATCCGCTCAGCTATAATCTTTTTAAATATAATATACATAAAGCATATAGCCGCGCGGCTATACTACCCTTTTTTAATTAAAAATACTATAGCCGCCCGGCTATACTGGTCACCGAATCGATAGTTGGGCGCTAGGCACTAGGCAGGTCCTTTTATTTATTTATTTATTTACAAATAGTATAGTCTTGCGGCTATACTCTCAATTTTTTTTATAAAAAAAAGTACTGTCGTGCCGCTTTAGTGGGGGTTTTTTTTAATTAAAAAAATTGTATAGCCGAGGGGCTATACTCTTCACATAGATAGTTTAAAACATTATCCATTACTAGTAAGCCATTACCCGAGTCTCTATTGTCCTTTTTTGAGTTTTTACTTTTCCAGAGTTATTACCTGAATAAAGAATTTAGTATTTTCACGTTTAATACTCATATTGTCAACGTATGTACATATTTTTCATGTTTAATACACTTGGTTTTTTACAAAATTTTCAATAATACACAAAAATTCACGTATTATACACATAATTTTCTCATAATATTGAATAAAAAGAATATATATTAAAAAATTTAAATCTATAAAGTATATATATTGAAATTAGCAAATTAGTATCTATAAAGTATAAACTAATGCAAATAGAAGGGTCCTTTTTTTTTCTTCTTAATAAATAGTATAGCCGCCCAGCTATACTATATATATATATATATATTTTAAAGTAGTATAGCCGGACAGTTATACTGTCTTGACACTTGTCGCCAAATCGCTAGTTGGGCAATGGGCCCTAGGCGGTTCCTCTCTTTATTTTTTCATAAATAGTATAGCCGCGCGGCTATACCCTGGATTTTAGTGTACAGCCGCCCTGCTTTACTGTGATCTTTTTTTTATAAATTGTTTTTCCCTCATTTTTGTTTATCAATTGTTTAGAGTATTATCCATTACTACTAGGCCATTACCCAAGTCTCTATTGTCCCCTTTTGAGTTTTTACTTTTTCAGTTATTATCCGTATAAATTATTTAGCATTTTTATGTTTAATATTTGTATTGTACATGTACATACGTATTTGGCATATTTGCATAACCTTCTTCTAGTTAATCCCCTGAATAGATTAACCTTTTTCTTTCCTAAAAGAAAATATCAACATACGAGTATATGTTCTTAACCATTTAGATATCACATTACTTTTGTAGATTTGAATTCAAACATTTGCATTACTTTTGCAGATGTGAATTCAAACAGTGCAAAGAGTTTTTTGTAGTTCAAGAGATTAAGCATTCACCCATGCACCGAGATTATGAGTTTGATTTCCACCTCTCCAATATCGAAGAATAAAATTATACTTTCATATAATTTAGAACGTCAAGGCTAGTTGACTGTCTTCACTAATGAAACTAATTGGTAGAAACTAACCAGAAACAACAATTATGAATACTTTTCAGTGTTTGTGTACAATAGTGTACATCTGGCTTACCAAATTCTGGTATGAATCCAATTGGCGAAGCCTGATTCCGACAAAATTAATAACCAAAACTGCTATATAGCAAAAGTCATTTCTTTGACTCTGAAGGATACTTCTACAATAGAAATTATAAAACCCATACAATGCCACATATAGAAACCCTTTGCCAGCAACATCTTCATCGCTGGAATAGCTCTTCCCTGCTAAATTCGATCTGGCACAAATGAACCACAACAAACTGAACAGGCTTTAAGCATGCAGGTCCTTGTTCGAATTCCATACAGGGACTTTTGAATCCTCCCCTAGCATCCCACTTCCGTTTTCGACACCTAATAGAGGATCAGCTTCGCTTTCTTTTGTCTGCAACCAATTTGTGGATAAGTAGTGTTAGCAGAGCATTTCCACATGATATATTCAAAAGTATTCCTGGATTAAAGGGATAAATTGAAGTAAAATATGAAAGACCAATTAAAGGATGAGTGGGAGTTAGAGAGGGAGAGAGAGAGAGAGAGAGAGAGAGACCTCCTACCATATTAATTTTGTGCAGACTAATATCTCAGATAACAATATGGAAATTATAAAAAAGAAACATGTGAACGAGATATGAAAAAACTAGAACCACCTGGGGCAACTGTTGGGATCCTTCATTAGCCTTCCGCTGGCTCTCGAGAGTGCAATAATAAGAATAGAATACCATCCCAACTACAGCAATCAATATCCCTAAAATGTTGCGCCAGCTAAATGGGTCGCGGAGTAGAATGTAGCCAAATGCCAAAACAAGGCACGTTTTCAAATGTCCAAGGACCTGATAAGTTACTGCAGATGTCTTTCCAATAACCAAAAATGTACTGAAGTTTACAGAGACAGATATCAGGCAGGACAGAACAATGAAGAACTGCAACATAGACAACGTTATGGTCACTATCAGAAGGATACCAGATAAAGAAATGTTTGGATAGGGGGGGTCAGGGGAGGCAGCCCTGTGGAAATGTCGAATACTCACCAGCACTTGAGGGGTATACGCGAAAGCAAAAACATTTTGATTAGTCAAAAGTCCATCTAGAAATGGACCAACGATGAACAAGGTTATTGCTTGATAGGGACAAGACTGATACAGAAGTTGGGTTGAGGACACTTTGAACTTCTTCTGGATGGTATTGGTCATCTGAACAACTGTTAAGGTCTAAAACAATACATGCTATCTTAATGCCATACAGTAAGCAGCAAATTATGCAGATGTCTTCTTTGTCTATTTTGCTTGTTTTTCTTATTAAATGTGCTTTATTTAAACATGAAACATGTGATAATGCAACCGATGAAATAGAAAATTCAGTCCAGCTTAGGATACAATCTGAGCAACACAGGTTGTGAGAACTGCAAGCAGGGACAAAAAGGAGCCCAGGGCATTGAGCTGAAGATCAGTAACTGTTGCAACTCCAACTCCCAAAATAAGGATGGTGAGTGAAAACTGAACACTTCGACTGTTAAAGTGGTAAGGAGTGTCAGACCCAGTACACAGTTGTATTACATGAAAAAACATTTACAAAGTACATCAAACATAATATAGCCACAAAGGTAAAAAGTGAAATAGCATATAACATGCTTGCAGGATAGAAAAATTGCAGTTCAAACTGACCTATTATAATAATTTTATCAGATTACGTATTGAACTATGACAAAGACTGACCTGAACTTCTTCCTAAAGAAAAGGGTCTCCAAAAGAACAGTACAAGGGATGATTGCCAGTTTTGTCATCTGAAGTAGATAATTAAGATAAAATTTATTCAGAAATGTTCATATAAAAAATTTAAACTGCTGAGACAGTAGTTTGATGGATTTAAGAATGAATATGTGATATCATTAGGTAAAGAAGTAAACAGTCAAAGCGCGAATGGGATCACGTTTATAAAATATGAAATTACAGATGCATGATAGCTAAAAACATTAATAGTTAAGCAAGTCATTCTGCATGATTGGGAAAGGTGGGGGAAAACCATAAGTTGAGGGAGGCAGGAAAAAACAAGAAGAAATTTACCTGGTAAAAACCAACGGAATTGAAACCCAAGCTCAGATTCAGAAGTCCAATAGAGATTCCATTTAGAATTCCAAATCCCATTACAGAACTAGCATCAAAAGGCTTGTGTTCAAAGAATTTCATCCATAACGCAATGTGAAGAGAACAAAATGTAACCAGAAGATGCCAGCTTGTCAAAGTTGTGGCTGTGTATCCCATAATGTGAATCAGTAAGTACATTAATATTTGAAAAAGTGTGTCATATATGATGATGATGATCAAGATATTAACGTAAAGAAACGTTACGATAAACAAATAACTTTAAAAACTTGAACCTTTCCAGATAAAGTTAATACAAGCAGATTGAGATTTCACCATTCTTTGAATTGCAATTTGTTGCTAACATATGGTGGTTTTCACTGCTATATAATTTTTTTAACCGCAATGTATTTCCACTGATGACATTACCACAATGTGCGCAATATGGGGGGCACTTAAACGATTCAAAGAAAAGAAAAATCAAGCAAAAAGGGAAAGGGAGAAATAATTTCTAACCCACATACTATAGACATTTGGTGTCACATAATCCAAATAACAAGAATGAGATTTAATGATTTTAAAAGGTTTTAGAATTTCAGCTAGCAAGAAACAACAACAAGAAGCAAGCCCGTTCAATTTGGTAGACAATGTATCCATATGAACCTTGTATGCCCATCAATTGGACCTGTTTTCCATTGACATGGCTGTACTTGTCTATAGGTCCTTGGTCAAATACCGTCAACCCATTTCTGTATTCATCACCAACCATCCCTTCGGTCTCACATCAAGGAAACCACATTCATACTTTTTAAGTTCACCAGCCAAACTTACTAGAATAGTTTCTTTTCTAAAACTGCATGAATTTAAAAAATAACATACTACTATTATTTAAGGTTATCTTGAAACCTACAATGTGCATAGAAAGAATTCCAACTACTCAAACAAAGCAGAGCACCAACATATACTGCAACAAAAAATTAAACCAACAACTTATGCCAAATTTCAATCAAACAGATGCCTTACTCACCAAAAGTGAAACCAAGTGTGCTAATAAGCGCCTTGTTGCAAATCACAATCGACACGGATGACACGACTGACAAACTCAAAGCCCCAATGGTCCCCAGGTGGAACTTCTGGCTGTCTCCCATTTTCACACTCTTGCAGTCTTGCTCTATTCACAGCCCAAGCTTTATATGGATCTAGCAAACCCAGACAGCAGAATTCAAACAATGTCCAGCCATTTCCAGCAACAACAGAAACAAAACATACCATATATGACCATATACAGAGGTGCACATACAAAATTATGCATTGAATTCTTACCTCATTGTAACATACTAATCCAAAATTTGAGGTAATTCGGGCGCAAAGCAGCTCAACTGCAACAATGGCAGACAAACACATAAAAAAAATCAAACCGAGATTTGCTCCAATCTACGATTACGAAACCCTAGATCTGCTACTTCGTAAAGAAACAGCAAATCAAAGAGAAAAAAGAAAGAGAGAGTTACCGTACAGAAACGAGAAGGTGAAAGCTGAAATCAACGAAAAACGATAGCTGAAACGATCAAACAATCGACTGCGGTTGAAGAAAGCGAGTGTTTGATTTTAAACCAACTGTGGCATTGATGGCGCGTATTATGAGCTTGTTCTTGGTTTAATTCTCGTGGCAATAATCAAATGCAAATTGCGATTTAATTTTTGTTTTGTTTTTCCGGGTTTTGTTGACTTTTTGATTCGGATTCAGGGACGGCCTCTTGTTACGCCGCATCAGCACGTGTGTTTTGTAGTGGTGGAAATGTAGGCCCCATTTAATGCGATTTCTCTCTCTCTCTCTCTCTCTCTCTCTCTCTCTCTCTATTATGTTCTATGGCTCTCTCATTTTCAGTTGCTAAGTTGCCAAATTAAACGTAGCCCTCAAGTGATTTCCTACCAAATTTTAATATTATTTTGCTCCCTTGTCACGCTTCAACGGTGGTTGGTACAGATGAACTACCACCGACACTGTCTATATTTATTTACAAACATTTTTTTTAATAATAAAAATAATGTTATATTTCCGATTCTAGAATACTAGGTTCTATATTTGGTCCATCTTTTTATTTTTTTGGTAAAATATTTGGTCCACCTTTTTAAGTATAAAAAATAAATGTCATATTGATGATTTTTTTTAAAAAAAATAGGATTTTAGAAAATTATTTTATGAGTGTGACATTTTTGTTTTCAATTCTAACTATTTTTGTGTTTGAGCATATGCTCTATAAAATAGAAACACCCTAAAAGAATACAAAAGATAGCAAGCAAATCATTCGAAACTCAAATGTGAGAGGCATGGACAATAGTGTAATCTTAAAAAGGATTCGCGGCCTAAATCAAACACAAGGAACAAAAGAAGAGGAATCTTGGACACCTCTTCAATCAATGCACCAAAATAGCAGTCTAACAATCAAAATCAGTAGCCTACAAGAAAAGAAAATTAGAAAATCAAACAAAGAATAAGCCAACTAAATTAGAGAAATAAATTACTTTTGAAAAAACTCAAAATAACAATGAAAAAGAAAAAAAAAACTAGGTGCATTAAGAATTAAAGTTATTAATTAAATTAGGATAATATGGTAAATTCATATTTTTTTCATATTAAAAAAAATTAAAATTAAAAACAAAATCAAATAATAGATCCTACTTTTATGGAACATAACTACCTATATTATCTTTTCTTAATTCTTAAAAAAAATAAAAAGGAAACCAATTGAGACATGCGTGAGCATGTGCCAAGAGGCTAGTAAAAAATAAATGTAAAGCAAAAGTTAAAAAAATAAATGAAACAACATAACATTGGCTAAACCGAAAGCATGGTTGATGTGGCTATGAAGCAGTTAATGGCAACAATTAAAAGTTATCTGGTGTTGTTGTAAGCACCAAACCACGGCTAAATGTAGACATCGGGAAACCATTAAAATTTCAACGGAGACTTATTGGAAATGTAAGGCTTGGCTGCCCAAAAAAAGACATTAAAAAACATTCACGTGCTGTGTCTGAAAACATCGATAAAGCTCATGGATTCCAACCACAGTAGCGGTGGATTCCCCACCCTCCATGGCAGAATCAAACTCAAGTGGAATTTCTTTCCTCCAATATATAAAATAGATTAAAAAAATCAATAAAAGACACCATCGAAAATGGAACTCATGAGACTGCCTTGTATGCCTACACCCAACAAGAGAGGGAGAAAAGAACCAAGAAAACAAGAGACTAAAAGAACAACAATGCAACCCCCGAACCTACAACATAGGTAATGTGAGGGACAAGCCAAGGCAAACACTAGGCCTTACTCTGCCCACAAAAACATGGTAGAGAAGAACAATAATGGAAACAAAGAACAATACAAGCACATAAAATCAATGATTGAATCAATCCAAATGCAAAATAATGAAATTTCTTGACTAACAAACCTATTTTAATTCACATAAACGATTAAGATAATATATGTACTCAAAAAAAGAAAATTACAAATTTGTCATCGACTCTTTGTACAACATCTTTTTTTCCTTAAATATCATGGGATTTTTAATGTACATTTCTGTGTTTTCATACAATTTATACTTTTGAAAAATATTTAATGATGAAACAATACAAAAAAATTGATGTTTACATGTACATTATTCTAGACCTCTAAAATTGATGTTTACGTGTACATTTACTATTTGCCCCAGCTGTGGATACTTTAGTACTTGTGTGACCTTGGCACACTGCGTCGGCAATTATTAGGAGAGTACTAAAGTTTTATTCACTATTCCAAGTGATATTTTGATCCAAGGACACTTTCTCCTCCTCGGTTTGAGTAATGTTACGTATATCATATTTAATTTTATTGATGATTTTGTAATGATGAAGAAACTTCCGAATATTTTTATCAAAGATAAATGTTAGCAACCTTCTCTCTAACCTTCTTTTTTGGACCTTCTCCCTTTTTTGCTTGATATGTGTCATTTTCTTTGCTTTCCAAGTTTACCCTTATTAAATGTATTCAATTTATCCAAAAACATTTCACAACCATCTTATTAATTTTTTTCTAACGTCAATTATTTTTTTTAAAGAACATATATGCTTTTTTTTTTTTTCAAAAAAGAGGAAATGTCCCTTTTTTAAAAAACACAAAGGACTTTTTTTTTTCCTCTATCTAAACCCTTTGTTTAAAAAAAAAAAAAATTAAAAAGGGACATTTCCTCTTAAAAGCAAATATGTTATTTTAAAAAAATAATTGACGTTTAAAAAAATATTAATAAGATGGTAAGAAAGTTGTGAAATGTTTTTGGATAAATTGAATACATTTAATAAGGGTAAACTTGGAAAACAAAAGTTAATTTGAATAATATATTAAGGTTAGAGAGAAGGTTGCTAGCATTTTCCTTTATCAAATAAGGCAGTCATATTGCCCAACTCAGGCGCGGATTCAAGATTCAAAAATGAGTAGGGCTAATTTTTAGGTAAAATTTTCCAATCGGAACATTTTTATTGAAATTTTGACAAAATCTACTTTATTTTTATGACATTTTCCAAACGGTATATAACAAGCATATTAACCACTAAATTATAGATACTAACAACTTAACAATAACACAAGTTCTATTAAAACAAAGAACTTACTAGATAGTATTAACCATTGATCTCTAGATTACATATCAATTTAAAAAAACATATAATATTTAAATCCCTGCATTAAAATCTAGAAACAATCACAAGAAAAACAAGAGTACAATAAGAAGAGAGAAGAGAAAGAAAAAGAAAAGAAGAGAGTTGAGCTGGAGAGTCACGAACATGCAAAGAGGGAGGAGGAGAGCATCTTCTTTTTGGGTTTTTATCTTTCGTCTTGGGTAATAAAACTGGACTGTGCAGCTTTTTTATTTCAGAAGTACTGGGCTCCCCTAGGCATCAGAAAATATTCTAACATTTGGGTCCATGCCTGGAGAAGCCCAACTACCAGCCAGTCTCTACGAGGCATTTTAAGAAGGCTAATTACATTTTTGGTCCCCGTAAATTGACTAATTTTCCATTTTGGTCCTTGTTATTTTGTTTTGGAAATAACCATGTTCCCCCATTTACATAGATGGATGCTATATAGATTATATCTTTGTAAGAAATGCTTTTGTAAAGAATAGGATCAATGTGCATAAATCAACAAGTGTTTGCATATTAGATATTAATCTAGAGGTTATCTGAGTCACTTCCTTTCTTTTAGTCTAAGTTTCTTCCCTTTTGTCTACTATCCTTGGCAGCAGTTAGTTGCCACATAGCTTAATAGACTAGCCTTTGCTACAGCACATACCCATGTGCCCCATGTTCTGCTGCTGAAAAAGATACAACAACTTTCTAACTCCCTCCTGAATCTAATAAAAAAAAGTTACATCTTACTACCAAAAGCCAAAGAACTTGATGGAAGTGATTGTGTGGATAGGGTTGGTGCTTTCTTATATCATTTTGGACTCTGCAAGAAACCTATACAAATTGGACTAAATTGGGTCATTTGGATAGAGGAACCATTTTTACGATTGGTTCAAATTCAAATGCATATGTGGATTAGGCCAGTTGGTCAAGGCAGTGTGTCATTCATCATATTGCACTCGAGTTCAATTCTCCTTTCCGTACATTAGAATAATTTAGAATACCATTTTGTCAAAAAAAATAAAAAATAAAAAATTTGCAGCAAATAGTGCACATCTTATAAAGCTCCTTGATTTTATAAATATATATTATTAATGTTACAACTTAGAAATGGGTTGTAACCTAAAATAGGTAAATTTCATTTCTCCTCCAGAAATCTCAAATGTGAAAGGCCCAGCGGGTGCTTTTAGCTCACCTCAGCAAACCCTCACTTCACAACTACTTTTGGCTTTTACACTCGGTAAAAAAGAAAAAGGACAGCAGATAGATATACAAACTTTTACTAATAATCTAGTGGAATAACTCTAATATTGACCCCCTGAGAAAGTCTGACCAAACTGCCAATTACCAGGGGCCACGCTGTAGCTTGTAACAGTTCTTCCGTCACTGGTGGTCACTTGGAAGGAGAGGCTCTGGCCATTGAGGTAATTGTTGCTCTGCCAGTTTTGCCCCCAGTTTCTTGACATGGGTTGCCACCCTGTTCTGGACCCCTTGATTGAAACTGAATGGACGTCTCCTGCACCACCCACGTTGGTGATCAAAACCAGGTTGAAGTAGGAGTGGCCATTGATGGTGAATCTTATTCCTCCTTTCTTCATACAGGGCACTCTGCGCAACACCAACAGAAAAACACATCCCATTAGTTTTTGTAACACATAATTATAACCGGCTAATGTTCTCTTATCAGATATCTGATATGTTATGTCATTACTAACTCAGAACCGTTTATTATCATTCGAATTATTAATCCGAGTACATAACATGAATGCCGGACATAAACTCTCTGACAAAACAATATTTACGGATTATAACCTATGACAATTTTAATTTCACTATGGTTATTTACCCCATTTTATATAATCTAGAAAACAAGTGATAAGCAATGTTGTTACTAACTCTGAACCGTTCATTATCATTGATATTCTCGGTTTGACAATATTCACGGATTATAACCTGTGGCAATTGTAATTTCACCATGGTTTTTTACCCCATTCTGTATGACCTAGAAAACTATAAGCAAAGAAATGTTTTGTTTTTACCTTCTGAAGGTAACAGGCACAATCCCAGCGCGGTATTGGGCAATTTGCAAGAAAGCAGGCTCAGCCAAATCAAAGTGCTGGAGAGGAGGATTGCACCAGCCGCCATTGTCGTTGGACTGAGCAAAGTTAGGTGGGCAAAAGTTTGTAGCAGTAACAATGATGCTTCCAGGACGACACCATCTAGGGTCATTGTTGCATCTCATTTCATAACAAGAGCCACAGCTCAAGCCATTGTTAAACAAGGCTGTGCTTAAAGCTGCAGTGTTGGTTCCATACCCTTGGCTGTACAAGTTCCCATACCCACATGCTCCCCCTGCAAAAAAAACCCAAATCAAATATCAAATCCAACTCTTAATTTAGAAGAAACTTTTTTTTTGAATTTTCAAGAAATGTTATTCGCACTTTCAGTTTGTCATTGTCATTCTGCGAGTGTGTATGGCAACTGCCGATTTTTTTACCGTGGTAAAATTTAGACTTACCCATTGTTCCCGAGGCATCACCGCCACCATAAAAAGTGGCATGAGCGCCTTCCCAGCCACCATAATCAGCAAAAGCACCATGAAGATGAAGATTGAAGAGAACAAGAGAGAGGGCTAGGGGAGCTAAAGACAATGCCTGAGGTGCCATGTTTTGATATGATTTTTCAATAGGAGAAAGGAAGAGAGAGGAGGAGCTTCGGTTTTTATGCAGGGGAGGTGTTTGTTTTGGTTTGTGCTTAGAGTGCACGAGGGGGCCTCTATTTATAAGGAAACTTGAGATTACTTATGATTGAGTTTTGCACACATTTCATTGAATAGAAAGGCCACAGCAGCAAGTGATTGAGAAAATCAAGTGCACATGCGCTGGTTCTGGTTGGGGTTACCAACCGCTACGCCAGTGGGCCAAACTTCTCCACATGCAATTTCCCAGCCATCAACTTCATACAATTTTTATTTTGAATTTTATATTCAGATTTTCTTTGTTCACACTGATTGGTGCCAATTAGTTGTTATTCACACTCGCAGTTTGTCATTCTACACTCGTAATCATAACATGTGTCCGATCTCCGTTTTCAGTTGCTTAATTAAATTTAAGTACAGGGCATAATCTTTAGTTTGGGGCCCAAGAAAGTTGAAAATGCCCTTCTATTTGTTGAATCATTGGTAGGGTCTTAACAGATAATGGTATCCTTGCACATGGCTGAAAATTTTGTTAATGAAAGCATTGAATTCTGAAGTATTTTACTTTCTGATGCTTTCTTTTCTTCTGTGATACATCGTTCTCATCAAGTAATGAAGAACAAAAGGGCATCCTTGACAACGCACCAAAACCTTTAAGCATATTAGGTTTTTCTTTTGGTAAAACTGAAACACCCTTTGTGAGTTTGCACACAGAATTTTCCAAATCCCTGCACAATGTGATCTGCTTATAAGCAACTTTGCTCATGGTAGGAAGTGGCAACCAACCCATCATTTCATTTGCGTGTGTCAATTTGGGTACTGCATGTGTTATGTTTTATCATTGCCCCACACATCTCTTTCTCCCTTGAATGGTAATATAGCATTAACTAATTAAGACAATAAAAGTCTTCCTTCCAAGCTGGCTTTGCCTCCATTTTGTTTCTCTTTTGTTGACTGAATGATACTTTAAAACTCTTGAATTAATAAGTTTCGAGTTAAATTTTTCCTTTATAAAAATATAAACGGGCGAGAAATTGCACATGAAGGAGTGCATGATGACTTCCTCTAGCTATTACGATCAATTACCCCAAAAAGGGTTCATGTAGGGTAAGATCCATTGTACAATGTTTATGTATTATTTACAATACAAATTTGTATGTATGTGTATAATGGTATAAATTTCACAACCAAAAAAGGTATAAATTAATAATGATTCTGGTGTGTTACGTGGGCATAGGGTACATCAGAAATTATGTCTCCATTTTGTTGGGCGTTTGGTCACATGGGTGGCCGACTTACATTGAATAGCACAGAGGGCTCGTGCCTGAATTTTGGACCGCGAAATTAAGGCATGTAGCTGGGAACTTGAGGTTAAAGGGTTTAACGCCAAAACGATGACATACTCGACACAAATTTCAGTCATGAGCATGCGTTTTCTGTAACAAATATTTGGATAATGCTATTATCAATAAATTTTTATTATTTATTTATGAGTTCACATCTTGAGAGTCTGTTATCCTCATGATATAATTATCACGTCGAAATACCATACTTGTTAGGTCATTATAAGTCATTGAGTGACATATTTAACACATAATTATACATACATATTATTCAACAAACGATTATCGTATTTTGATGCGTTCGTAGAAAGTAGCATCGAAAAATCTCACTTCTTGTCATTTTGTTTTCAAGTTTTTATCTTGATGTAGGGAACAAAAGTCA